TGGCGGAAGTCAAGTGATGATTTAAGTCCATGGACCCCACCCTTGTTCCCAGGCATCAATGGACGCTTTTGTCCCCCCCACCCCCCCAACCAAACCCTAAATGGCTGAGGCAAGTAATGAGATGATAAGAAAGATGTTTTCCGTGTTGCCCAAAGTGATGAAATCCGTGTTGCCCAAAGTGAGCGTCCAAAGTGTGTGGAGTGTGTGATTTCTGGATGTTGCCTGAAGTGATGCGTTTGGTGTTGCCCTAAGTGATGCGGGTGCCCTGACTCTTCCCACCTCTGCTGTTCCACCTGTCCATATTGTCGGAAGTTTGACTTCTAAACTTCCTTCGATAAATATAACTAACTATATATATATGACATTAAATACACAATGATATCAACTATATTACATCCTCTCCGAGGTGAGGTCGTGAAGTCGGTTTAAAAACGCCTGGAAGATTCTGGAAGTTGCATGAGAGGCTATGATCATCGAGCGAAGGAAAGTTCTAAGCAAAGCGCGCAAATTGGAGCACTGCTCATTGTTTGAGTACAGGTCAGATGTGCTCTTCGCAGAGCACATGCACACAACATATAGAATCAGACACAGCAAATGGAAAAGAACATGCTTAGAACATGTTAGCATGAGTCCATCCGTGTGAAGTATTTGGTCTCAAATTCCATATCAGGCGTGCCATGAGTCAGATTTTGATCATCTCACATAAATAAGTGGCCAATCATATCCAATCATAGATAGGTAAGCCTCGATCTCTCAGCAGTACGTTGAGCTTCGCTGCATCAATGTCAAAAGTTACCTCGATTTGCGGACCGCCCTTGGGCATCGGTGGCAAATGCTCGATAGCAAAGTCTCCCAAGAAGTGGTTCTCCTGCACCAAAACTGCATCTAGTGACACTCGTCGCAAGAATTCAGGAAAACTACACTACTGATAGTGCTGATGGTATTGACCTCCGGTTTCATTCTTATCATGCTTGCAAAATCCTCGTGCTAGCATTAACAGGAGACATGTATGAACATGCCCACATCATCGCATAATCAAGTCTCCATTTGCTTAATCCTGTACGGGTACATGCAATCCTGCACTGGCGGACAAAGGCGACCAATTCTTGCATTTGTACAGGTCATGTTTCATTCATAATGCGCAAAATTGGTTGAATTTTGTCATTACCGTAAATAGGCTGATACTGCTACCCGCTGGTGTCTTTCTGTCTGCTACTTTTGGGCATCTGGAGCACTTCGGCAGTGACTGGACAGCTAATAGCGCTTGATCGTGCTTGGTTGCGCTTGATGGCCTCGCAGCCTGTGATACAGAAGTTGCAGAGCAAGTCTCGTGTCAACTCAGTCGATTCAGTCCACTCATGTCTGGCGGCCATGGGCTGCCTACCTTGCATTTTTGAATGCCATCCTCGTCCGATATCTCTCAGAGCACCACTGAGCACCACAGCATCCACAGGCTCTCTTTTGTCCAGTAGAGTCGTTCTTTGCCTTTTGTGCCCAGTTTGGGTGGTCTTTACATGTTTTTACAGCACCAAATCCAACAGTTTCCGGTGTTGCTGTGCACCGTACACGTCTTTGTCACCAGGGCTTCCTGCCAAAATGTCGCGCTCGCAAGTGATCTTCAAAGCGCGGCTGGCGTCGTCACAGTACACACCAAGCACATTACGGCCCAGCATGGGCCCGACTTTGTCAATGTCAAGGCTGGGGCTTTGCTTTGCCAAGAGATAACCTGCTCGAAGCCCCTGAAAAAACAACGCCGAAATAAAAGCCGGAAAAAAAGCCCTGCATATCTGCCCAGAGCTTTTCAGCCAGGCCAAGTCATGCATCTATTTAATCTATTTGGTCAACCTGAGTCTTGTTCACCACAAGCACGGTGTATCGTGATGTGTAGCAATGTATCAAAGGGTTTTCGAGATTGAGGGCCTGAAATATCTGCTAATCCGACCAAGAAACCGTCATTGTCACCAAAAATGATGTCAAAAGTGATTTCATTGATTCCAGCATTCTTTGAACGCACAACACGAGCCAACTTGCCCAGCTTCTGACCGCAGCTCGAGCTCGAGGACGTGCAGGATCTCGTCCAATCTTTGTAAGCTTCCTCCAGGGAAACGACTGGGCCATCACCCCAACTCATCAGAGTTGGCTGAATTTGTTCAACTTCTTCAGCTTCTGCTCGCCAGAGTTTGATTGTGAACAAGTGTCGGAAGAGTTCGTCGTCTAGATCGACCAAATGCTGCAAAGTATATTCGGCAGCCATGGTTTCACATCGCCAACTGCTGGTATTGTTGCCTTTGAAACTGTCGGACACTTTCATCACTGCCAGGCGCGGCAAACCCTGGAGACCGGCAGATATGAAACGGATGGTAAGGCCCTCAGAAGATGACAAAGTGGAGACATAGTCCTTTGGGTTGGCAATTCACCGCATAGTCAAGTGGCTAAAGGGAGGTGACACTTAAGATACGCTTCTTCACCATATTTTGACAAGGCCAATAGCTGAAGGTCAGAAACCTGTGAAACAGTTCGTTACAAAGCACCAATCACGAGTCCTGAACATTTTGCTGAATGGCCGGCCACTGAGAGATGAATGCTGGATCACGTGTGCCGCAGACTGTGAGAAACCCGTCTTCGCATTGCAAGTCCTTGGATAAGGCCGGAGGATTCAACAGCGCCGTCCTGCAACCCGAAGGCGTTGCTGCGAAAGAAACAACCGGATAGGTGACCTAGGCAATTTTTGAATATTTTTGAATCAATACAAAGAGTCTTGATTCATCTTGATTCTTGCATGCAAAGCCAGGCAAAGAGTTCAAAAGCAAACACAAAGTCTTCCCATCCAGCTGGTGATCTGAAGGAGAGAAAGGAAATGCCAAATTTCCAGCAGTGGCGGTTCTTCCTTCGAATCCCCAATGCAACCTTGGCGAAACAGAAAAAAGGACACTAGCTGCCTTCGAAAGGCGAAGGATGTTTGAAAATATCGTCTCTGCATACCTCCACCGCAGCAACCCCGCCTAAGGGGCCTCAGGCTTCTGGACATCGGCAGAAACAATGCCAATTTTTTTTTCTTTTGCATAATTAATTAGTGAGACTGCAAACAGACCATTGCCGTCCCATGTCCACAAGCATCCACACAGAACCCAAAAACAAACTGCCGCTTTCACACGTGGTCCATCGTCTTCTCAATTGAGAACACGTACGTAGACGTGACGTGTTATTACATTCATCTATATTTTATATTCATGGATTCATGTCATGATGCCAGTAGTGTCATGTATATCTGCTCAGCTTAGGAGCAGCGACGCCCGAAGAAGCGCCAAATGCGATTTGTTACGATCCATGCTGCCACCGGAGACAATGATCACTATGCCAAGTTCTTCTTCTCCATCTCCCAAAGGCCGATCCTGTGCAAATCGGGATATTCACTGACATGTCTTGGTTGCAACGTACATGCTTTCGAGGCTTCTGTCTGACTGTGGCTGAAAGCAACATGCCCAAAATGCATCACAATCAAACAACATAGTTAGAATCGAAGGAAGTTTAGAAGTCA